GACGCTTATCGTAAGGCTACTTTTTCAGGCAGATTCCTTAATTTTCACTAACATCATCCATTGTGTCACAAAAGAGGAGTAATTTATGGTATCGTTGACAAAATAATTCGATTATGTCATCCAAAGTTTCAAAATAATAACTTGATTGATGCTATTAATAACTTCTTACTAAATGGATATCCACTTGAATTTATTTTCACAACAATAAAAAATAGACTAAAATTCCACATTAATAAAATTAATTCTTCTAATAATAATAATGGTTTGAAAAAATTTTTTGCTGTACCGTTTGTCAATTCTGTCTCTGATAAATTTAAACCTATTGCCAACATTTTTACTTGCAAACTGGCGTATACCATACCTAATACACTAAAAAACTTCATAAAAAGAGGCAAGGATAAATTAGAATACACACACAACTAAAATGTGGTATATAAAATTTCCTGTGACAACTGTGATGCAAGTTATGTTGGCCAGACCAAGAGACAATTGAAAACAAGAATACATGAACATTCTTCGGATATTAATAAAACTTCTAAATCTCCATCCATAATATCTAATCATAGAATAGAAAAAAATCATGATTTTAATTGGAGTAAAGTTGAAATTTTAGATATGGAACCGTCTTATAAGAAAAGATTGATATCCGAAATGGTTCATATAAAGAAACAAACACATGGCATAAATAAACAAAATGATACCGAGTCATTGCCAGATTGTTATACTAACATGATACATTCTCTTTCCACCTCTTAATTTTTCCCTTCCTCTGTCCTTTCCTGAGGTTTCTGCCTACTCATTTCTTATTTTTATTTCTAGTAGTACAGTCGATTTTTATAACTGTAAATTAGACTATTTTATTTAATTTCAATAATGGATCTAAACATACTGGATTTTTATCCTGGACTATACATTTTTTATCACATTTCTGTTAAGGTAACAATATATACAATTTACTTCTTTATAATTAAGTTTTTAAATTTATATACTTTTTTGTCAATAGATTTATATAACTCATGCGAAACTAATCATAAAGGAAGATCCATATTCAATTATATACATTTAATTTTATATTTGTGACTCGTTAATTATTCAATTATACACATGAAAATGACCCGATCGGTGTCGAAACACACTTAAAAAATTATTGGCTCTTTTCTCTTATTTTTAATCAATTTGTTTTATACTTGTTGAGCCTTCTATTAATTTATTTTATTTTACACCTTTTTATCTAATAATAATATTATATATTACCATGAAAAGTAACTGATATATTATTAATAAAGGTGCCAGTACAAAGTGAACATATCATACATAAAGTGTATACAACTTTTGGCCGATTTTCGAATCACCTCTGCCTTCCGCTGTCCCCCTCAACCTCACCGCGCGCAGTCCAAATGTCGCTCGAGCATCGTGCGGCTTATTTTGAAGAGTTGGACAAATCATATTAATCGGACGGCTTGAAAAAGTTGGAGAATCGTTGGATCAAGTGTATCGAACTGAAAGAAGACTGTGTTGAGAAATAAAAATGAATCGATAAAAAAAAATGTGTTTTTACTATTTTTTTCTAAAAATTTATTGACTTGCCCTCGTAATATTTATGGATTCATAGGTATAAAAATCAATTGCTTACTCAATAGACTGCATTCTGAAATCCATTTGAAAAAAGATGTTTTACAACCTTTTAGTTGCTGACTGTACATACTATAATTGGAAAACAAGAACTATAAATTGAATACAATTTTAAATTAATTTTATTCAATTTTTAGCATTCCGTTCTATTTATCAAATACCAAAATTAATTAAATTAATTTGAAATGTTAAACTTTCAGTTTCCTTGAAATTAAATTTTTTTTAATTGTATATAAGTACACATATAAGTTATGTAACGCGTTAATATTGTAAGTATTGTTACAATACAATGTAATTTTATTGTGAGTGTATGTAGTATTAAATTTGTACTGTAAAATTAATGTAAACTATAATTAGATAAATGCCATTATATTTACTGTTGTAATTTGTACAATGATTAATTAATCGCACATTTATTGGAATATATTTATCTGTATTGAATGTTTTATTCTATACAGATAGTATTTATTTAGTCTTAGTAAAGTAGAGAGTTGCGTTATTGATGTAAATATAAATTACAACAAATCGACGAAATGATAACAAATTTTATTTTTAGACTATCAAAAGATTACTAATAATATTGAGTAATTTCTAATTAAAAATGTGATGTTTAAAGTAATTGTGAACTTTTCTTCGTATTTAGTATACAAATTTATTAATAAATAAATCAGTAAAGATTGGAGTTTTGACTAAAGCAATTAAAAATATTAACTTCTTGTTTACTTTTTGACATTTATAATACATTTTTAATATTATAGAGTACTAGTATTATTATTGATTTGCAAGTTAATAATTCAAAGTAAATACTAATTACTATTACCATTTCACTCCAGTATTTCATTAATACCGCTAGATTAATATCACTATTGGTGTAGAAACATTTCATATAATCCCTAAAAACTAAAGTTTATTACTTATGCTCTAGTAATATCGATTTTTATTATATTTTGAACAATATTTATAATGGTACATTGTAAATTATTATTATTATATTATTAGGTGTACAAAAAAGTTCTGAGCTTTTTTTTGTAAAATCTATGTAATAATCGTATGTAATCGTATGGAAATGGCTTGCTGTATAACGCTAAGCTGTTCTGCAAGCTCCTTTTCAGTTTGCGCAGAGTTTATATCTAGCAGTGCTTGCAATTCATCCGTTTCAATCTTTTCAGGGCGTCCAGCACGCGATTCATCTTTAAGACTGAAATCTCCTTGGCGAAACTTTTATGGCGATACCATCTTTTACATGTAGCATGACTTACAGCGTTCTCTCTATCTGCAGCACAAATCATTGCAGTGGCTTCAGCAGCATTTTTCTTCAGATGAAACGCGAAGTGGACGGAAAATCGAATATGCTCTTTTGTTATTGCCATCGTGAACACTACTGATTTTTGAGGTTATGTGCATCAAACGCCAAACCGCATTTTAGAAGGCCAAATGTTAACGCTTTAAAACCGCAAAAGGGCGGGAAGATATATAAAATTTCAATTGTTATTTCGGTTGTACGAAATCTAAAGCTCAAAACTGTTTTGTACACCTAATATTATTGTAGGATTTTATTGTATAAAAATTACAATAAAAGATAATATTTAAGGTAGTTAGACCCTAAAGCACAATTATTTAAGAATGTCTTGAAGCTTTCGTCTCAAGTAATTTAGGTATTAATACATATGCCTGTAAAATTTGAGCTTGATATATCGTCCCGTTCTTGAGATATAATCCATCAAACTTCGCCGATTTTTCTATATTTACCACTGCAGTATAGCCATTTTTATCTTGATATAACACGGATTTTCATACAGCATCGAAACCGTATTTAAGAAGTTAATGAAAAACGAGTCACATGTAGTTGAATTTATGAAGAAGCGTGTGTAACAAGACCGCAATAAATATTCATCGTATGATACTAAAATTTGAATTGATAAAAAATTTTGATTTTATACATTCTCTCTAGAATTGACGAAGTCTAGTAGATATGGCAACGTCGCACTTTCAATGACCATGTCAATTAATTAAACAGTTGAAAATCTTTATCTTAGCGATGCTTTTGATATCGGGGAGACTTTGGCAGCATATAATATAAAATATATAAATTATTTTTAGAATTTTTAAAGAGAGAGTGAAATAGTCATGGTAATAAAAAGTAAATTATAAATAGGATAATAGCGCCTGTCACTATATTCGTCTATATTCAGCTTGCGTCTGTCACTATATTCGTCTATATTCAGCTTGCGCCTGTCACTATATTCGTCTATTCGTAAAAATGTGATGTTACCACGATCTAATTTCTCTTATGTACTACGTGATACGTAGAATTTCCTTCTTTTCTTAAATTAACTTATTGCATCATGATTTAATATTGTAAGTGTATAAAATACATTGTTTTTTTATTCTTAGATTTTACATAACAACACATATTCATTTAAATTTAGAGTTATGTTTGAGTCTGTGACTCGCATATAGTTGAGGTCTAACTACCTTAAAGAGAATTAATATAATATAATTAACAAAACACAATAAAATAATTAGATATAAAAATAAAAAATAAAACAATAAACGTATACTTACCTGCAAAAACGGGTTACTAAATTCATGGCTCGTTTTTTTTATGAGTGACTTATAAATTTATAAAGAAAAGAGGATCGCCACGCCAATAAAAACGGCAGGAGTGGTGGAGAATTTCTAACTCGTTTTTGCTAAATTAAACCTTAAATTAATATATATAATTAAAAAATTGAGGTTAAATCCGATTGTCCTGTTTTGTACACAATTGTTGTTATTTTATCTGTCAAATCCTAGTTTTTCATAGTCCTAAGTTGGCTGAATGTGTATAAATCGGTGATTATCTACTTCGGAACGACTGTCTCCCATAAGACGCTATGTTAAAATGGTCAATTTCAGAATGACATTACAAAAAAACTATACAGTCAATATTGTTCAAATTGTGGGATTATTTGTATACATTTTTTATCTACATCATATTAAAAAATAAAATCTCTAAATTGGATTTCGACTAACGCTTGAACCTCCTTAACTTGTTTAAATATTCAATTTCAAGTTTCTTAAAATTCAACAATTTTTAAATATTTGTTGAACTATTTAATTCATAAAAAACACACTGGACACTAATAATTTCCGGATACATTTAATGGGTACTAAACAAAACATATAACATGGTGAATGTTAATATAGTTTATGATTTCTGAAAACAACATTAATAACATTTAATATTTTTGATAATGCACATAATTTATTTCATATATATATATATGTATATATATATATATATGTATATATATATATATATACGTATACAAAATAATCATACCTGATAGCATTATATTTATAATATATAAATATTTTTTGCAACACTGTAGTTTTATTTTTTAAAGAATTTTGTCCTTATTTTCTTAATATTTTGCCATATATAGATTGCGTATAGAATGTAACACAAACCGCGTTACGTGAACAGTTACGTTCTTTGTGGCGTTGGATCATTCCTGGCGTCAAAAAAATACAATAGAGAGAAAACGACGTAGAACATCTTTAAACTGAGCTCACTCTTCACATGGTATTTCAGGGAAAATCCAGAAGAAGGCCGTGTTCTATGTCCATTTTAGCCATGGTAGCCATAACCATGACCGTAACCACCGTAATGACCGTAACCACCGTAGAACGGATATCCTAAGCAACAATGAAAAAATACTTTAATATTTTCGTATAAACGATCCTTTTGTTCAGGAATACAAATGTGCATGTGTGTATCTGAATAATTTCTTTGTGTTATGAAATTAGCATGCGTGTGTAAGTTGTTCTGCATTGTTGCGTGACATACAAACTTGTGTAATATAAAAAACTGTCCTAGATTTATATATAAATTCTATGTATTATTTCGCCATAAATAACTTATTTTCTATAGTTTCATACATTTACGTATATTTTTGTTACAGAAAAGTGCAATTTAATTGTTACAATAAACTTTTTTATAATTACGCATTATCTACAGCAATTGTGTATATAATTTCTAATTGTCCTTTTTATCACGTAGTACGATTTTACGCTATAATATTTTATTACAACGAATAATAAATTGTTATATTAAAATATTGTTAAATTGTGCTAAATAATTACATTAAATAGTTATAAATTAAATATTGAATAGTATGAAAATTAGTAGTCACACAAAGTTAAAGAAAAATTACACTAATCTATGAGGAAATAATTCTGTGAAATGTAGCTTATAAGTTCTGTACATATAAATTTTAGAAAACATATTCTATAATAGATCCTACCAAATCCATATCCATGCCCATATCCTCCATATCCATGCCCATATCCTCCATATCCATGTCCATATCCTCCATATCCATGTCCATATCCTCCATAGAACGGGTATCTATATCCATAGTAATACGGATAGTATCCGTATCCTAAGTATCCCGGTTTTGCAACAGCTACGCCGATTGCAACGGCCAAGAGCAGAACAAAATACTGTAAAGCGAATAAAAGAACAGAATTCAATTAAATTCAATTATGAAAATGTTTATAAATTAGTGCAGCTTAAATGTATTTTGAAAAATATTAAAATTGAGAAAAATGGAATTTGCATGAAATTCTTATTTTTCTTCTTTTTAATTTGCACGAGGTAAAACAAATAAATTTAAAAATATTTTTTTTAATAAAGACATAATTAAGTTAAATTATTTTGAAACAATTTAACTTAATTATGTCTTTATTTTTAAAATGCCTCATCCGCAGATTAAAATAAGACTAAAATAAGAAATAGAAAAAGTTAATACTCTAATTTTATCTTTATTTTTTATAATTTATAAAAGATTAGAAGTATGCTTAATAATGATTACATAAAGGTTATTGAATGGTACGATATCATATGGCATGATAATCATCAATAAGTTAAATTATCACGATACTTGACTTCTAGAACAATTTTTGATTCAAATCCGTCGCACTTACGATTTTCAGGCACGCCATTCTTTTTCGTATTTGCAGTTGTGGCCCGACTGACGCCTTTTTAACAATCGCACCGAATTTTTCTCATCTGTCGTTGTCGAACACCACTGTCTATCGTTTCTGCGACACAAGTGCTTTTATAAGAAAGGCGGGGTCCTTTGTGAGGCGCGGTGTACCCCCACGAGAGCGGTACGTTTTTCCAGGTCCGCTCTGTCCTCCGCCTGTTGTGCTAATAAGAAACTTCATTGTTACCCTGGGATTATGCGAATTGCGATTTTGCATTATGAAAGAAACGCGAAAGACGCGGCGATATGCGGTAACGCACCTGTGACGGGGTCGCATTAGTCCATGCCTGATGGGCACCTTGACATCCAAATTTCTTCTTCGACGCGATTGCTCGCGTGTGTCCGCGGCGCCGTAAACCCCTCATTACAGCAGGAGAGAATAATACGTCGCAACTACCGATTGCGATACTTAATGCCGCTGCTGTAATCGCTAATCGCTTATCGTCAACAGTAATTCCTGGGTCCGCCGGTGAATCCCAGTAGCAGGCCCGGAGGAGGAAACGTTCTTCTCCCGAGTATCGTAACCGAAACAGAAAGAAGTGATAGACATATCGTCATGTACGCCGGTCGACGATTACGTAATCCGGGATTCTGTTTCAAAATGTGAAATTAAGTTGATAGACGTCCGCGCGTTTGAGATATGTGTCTGATTTGTCAATTGCGTGACGACATTCTTAGCGACGTTCGACGAAAGAAGGAATAATTTAGATATTGGAAATGAAGGACCTCGAGAAATTTATTACTTACATACTAATTGAATAGAGATGTCAGAACTAGAGCTATCGAGTATTTTGAAAATTAAATGTGCATATTATATTAATATAGAACCATCATTAATAGAATCATGTCACAAATTACAATGATAAATTGCTTCGTACGGGATACACGATACATATGATTTAGCTTTATCGATTTAACACGTATAACATAGAATTAATTAATATAGCAGAGTTTCGAAAACTCTGTCTTTCTCTTATATTCGTAAATCTATTTTTATCAAATGTGACGTATCTTTTGAGCCGTCTTATCAATCATGTCTCAGCAAAACACATTGTAATACACAGTTTGCATAATCACACAGTTTCGCATAATAATGACGTGGTTAACAGAAGATGTTGATGTATCATATTGAGTAATTCTAATTCTAGTCATTCTTTTGTAGAAAGTTACCTAAATGTAAATATTCTAAGTATTATACACATATCGATATATTGATATTTTACAAAAAACTAAAGGTAAACTGTTAAACATTTTAAGTAAATTTACTATTACTTTTTCTGCTTCAATTTCTTCAACAACGTATAACAATTTTGCTATTTCAATATTCCATTCTTACAGAATTTACGAGAATGAAATTAACAGTTATACTTCATAGATGTTTCCGTCGATTGAAACATCATCGATATGAATATTCTTCGATTGTCTTTGTTTTTATATAGGAATATGATTTTCTTTGTTACATTTACCTTCACGGTCGATTTTCCATCGCCGATTTATTTTCTGTTCTCAGTAAACGAGATCGGATCTACAATCGATATCCAGAATAGCGAAGGATTTCTTACGTGTTACGTAAATTTGTTATGTGCATTTACCTTGAATTAAATGCTATAATAATCTATTTTTATGAACTTTTTGCAATCATATGGGGATTATAAAAAAAAATTTTTTTTCGATCTGAAATAGCTAATTTTAAATACAAAAATAATTATTACATTAAACAGTTAATATATACAAATAAAAATATTTAACATATTATAATATAAATTAATTACAATATTAGAGGAAAGTCGCCGATGCTAATATCTTCTAAACAGATATTATTGAATATTGTACTTATTATTACTGACAGAAATATGATATGTTTAAATGATTAAAGAAATAAAAACTCATAGCTTACATATTTGTAACTTTTTTTTTTTTATTAAAAAATCAGCTAAAACTGAATTCTTTAAATGCAAAAATAAGATTCTTTTAATTTTCTTTTACAAATTGTATAGTATCACACTGTTCTTATTTTCCTAAATCTACTCTATTTATACTTTTCTTTTTCTTATTTTTTTCATAACATGGTAATAATTTAAATATAAAATCTCAGAGTGCAGCGTAAATCGACACACCCGTTTATAAGATAGACCATAAGCTAACTTCATATGTGTTGCGTTATAGTGTTAAATAGTTCTATCAGAGCTGAAGGTGAACTTGTATTTATATAGGAAAATCCTCCAAAAAGAAAAACTGTCTTGTTACATATTACGTCTTGCAGAACACATAAAGTACGCATATAAATTAACAAAAAATGCTTTATATTTCGAAGTAAAAAAGAATGTAGAAAAAATATTATATACAATACATTCACTTGTAACATAGGTAAGGGAGACCAGGGACAAAAGTAACAGGGTACAATGGTAACATCGTTAATATTTCTTAAACTATAATAGATATGTATAAAAAATAGAGATATATGTATATGGCCGCGTAGTAAAATTCTATAAACAGATAGGTATTGAATCGTTCGTTACATGCTGATTTACATGCACGAGTGCAGGCGCAGAAATTACTTTTTTCATGCATCAAGTAATTTTTATTGCGCATGATTGCACAAAATTCAAAATATTTTTTTTCTTTATAACAAAGATATAATGTATTATCTTAATATATTTTAACGATTATCCGTGTTGATGTTTTTCACATTTGAGTTGATTTTTATCTAGGTTTTTATTTAAAAAATTTACTATGAATCATAAAATACCATTAGGGGACAATAGTAACATCGATGCCTGGGGGTCGGTTGTAACGTTACAATTGTCCATGAACTTACTCATTTCGTTTTAGTATTGTTTTGTACAACATTGTATTTTTCTACGTTGTTCCTTTATATTTTAATTTTATACTTGTTAAAAGGAAAGAATTTTTTTCGTTTTGTTCTTTTCATAAATTTTATTATCATTAAATATAATGCAGTACCTACATATAGTGACTACATATACCATATTAGATGCTTGAATTAATTCTCGCTGCTTTTTGCTAAAAAAAATAAAGCTTGTGCTTATTTTATCAAAAAGATACCTGATATTTTATTCACAATATTGTCCATCGAAAGTTATAACCTTTTTCCCACTTTTCGGGTAACAAATGGATTCCGCGGTAGAAAATTCAGATTCTTTCAAGACGATCCAATCATCGAGCCATTTTTTATATCTTTGAAATAACTAAAGTGTTGTTCAGAAAGACCATGCTGCATCGACCGAAATAAATGGTAATCTGATGGAACAATGTCTGATAAATAGAGCCGGTGAGGTAAGACATTCCATCCAAGTGCCTTCAAGATTTCCTTCACTGGTTGTGCAACATGTGGTCTGGCGTTATCATGGAGAAGAATAACTTTATCATGTTTTTTGGCGTATTACGGGCGTTTTTCTTTGAGTGTTCGATTCAAATTGAGTAATTGACGTCGGTAGCATTCATCATTGATGGTTTGACTTGGTTGCAACAGCTCATAATACATAACACCGACTTGATCCCACCAAATGTACAGCATGACCTTCTTTCCATGAATCTCCTGTTTTGGCGTTGATGGTTCGCCGGGACGCACCCATATGATTTCTTGCGTTTAGGATTGTCGTAAAGAATCCATTTTTCATCGCCAGTCACAATTCGATGCAAAAACAACTTCCGTTTTCATCTTTGGAACAGCAATTCACAAATGGCTGAACGTTTCGCAATGTCTCTTTCTCTCAATTCATGTGGGACTCAATTTTCTAACTTCTGGATCATTCCCATTGCTTTTAAACGTTTGCTAACAGTTGACACATCGACATTTAATGTTTCCGATAATTCTTTAACATGAATCTTCTTGAAGTAATGCCTCCAATTCTCCATTTTCAAATTTTTTCGGCTGACCAGGGTGCTTTTTGTCATTCACATCAAAATCGTTGTTTTTAAATCTTCTAAACTAATCTCTGCAAGTTGTTTCAGATAGAGCATGCTCCCCATAAGCCTTCATTAGTAAACGATGACTTTCAGCAGCAGATTTCTTAGGGTTAAAACAGAAAAGTAACTTCCCGCAAATGTTTTTTTTTTGTACGAAACCCGACATTTTTATGCGATAAAAAATTGTGTTCTTTGCATTCGATCAAATCTTATATACTGATTATTAAAGCCTATTGATAGTACTTTCATATACTACATAAGCGGTCACTTTCGGCCATGTTGAAACACAAATGCTTACCTCTCCCGGTCAACAGCGAGAATTAATTCAAGTATGTATAGTACTAATATGTAATAAATGTTCATAATTATACATATAAAGAGTTTTATTAAAAAACCAATAAAATATAATAATTATTTTAAATCAAGAAAATAAGAATGAAGACTGCCGATATGAGCCAACACTAGTTATAAGTGTGTATTTTTAACAATTCATTCGGAATCATACGAAACATATACGTTTCGACCTATGGTTAAGGTTCTTCTCGCGATACAAATAAGTAAAATTTAAAATTAAGAACATCAAAATTGATAACGCATAAAAATACGAAATAGAATACGCATATAAATACAATGTAGAAAACGCATAAGAAATACTCTAATGTCCAAATCAACCGTAGCTCGACATGTACTCGTATATGTTTTTGTATGATTCTGAATAAATTGTTAAAAATACACACTTATAACTATAGTGTTGACTATCGGCAGTCTTCGTTTTTATTTTCTTGATTTATTCTACTGAGCTTTTTGATTATTTTAATTATTATTTTATTTATAAATAATGTGATACAATTGTCCCTCTCTACTGTTACAATCGTCCTAGGGATTGGGACGGTTATAGCAAAATTCCTCGTAGTCCTTAAACAAATATAACTTTTTATAGTTACATTGAAAAATTGAATCAAAGAAAATTTTGTAGTTAAATAAATTCTTCTCTACATCTAAAGGTATATATTTTTTAAATGTAAATATTATATTTTAATTGTTATAACATTTCAAAATCAAAATGTTACTTTTGTTCTCCCCTATTTTGTATTAATGAATTTTATTTATTCGACCGTTG